TTGGTCCTAAAAAAGCATTGCCCATCATTCTCAGGCTGAAATATTTGCAGAAAAAACTGAAGTAGTTTTGTATGTATTATTTTTTACTTTATTTGTATTATCAGCTGTTTGTTACATAGTTTTATTATTTTAGTTAATTATTGGAATGGCTTTATTCCTGAGTTCCATGATATATACATAAACAAATATCTACCATAAAAATCAGGTTTGAAAACATGGTTTATTTAATCAAAATCTAAATGGTCTAGTTGGTTGATCCTAAAAATGCATTATGCATCATTGAAATTGCCAAAAAAAAAAAATGTCATAAGTAGTTTTTTGTGTAATATATTATTTATTATTAAGTCTTTTAAAATATCTGGTATTTTTTGGCACATGGTCATATGACGTAAAAATTTAGATAACTTCACGACATTCACAATACAAACATTCATGAAATTAGTCAAAAGAATAAATTAATTACCATGCATATTATGTTTGATGGTTCATTTAATCAAAATATTGAAACAAAGAAGATTCTAATAACTGTTTATATTTTTTTTTGCATCCTCAGATTCCAGATTTTCAAATATTGTCCTATCATAACAAACCATACATCAATGGAAAGCTTATTTATTCAGCGTTCAGATGATGCATAAATCTCAAACATTTTGAAAAATTTACACGTTAAGACTGGTTTTGTGTTCCAGGGTCACATATTAATACACAATTTAAAATTCAAGATGTTTGTAAAAAAAAAAAAAATTTTAAAAATTTACCGTGAAAATCATAAACTTGGATGGAATGGTGTTTTTGTTAGCTGCTGTGTGATTGTGTTCGTTTGGCTCTCAGTTATCAGGATCCTGCGTTCTTCGAAGAGTGCAAACAGGAGTATCTCAGAGAGAAGCAGGAATACAAACAGACTGGGATTCCAGCCAAGAACAGAAAGCAGAAGCTTCCCACCAGCATGTGATGAAGAACACTGCAGCGAGGAGGATGAGGATGGACCATGAAAATCATTTCTGGCGACGCTGTTGTCTCTGATGGACGTTCTCGGCGTCTGTTGGTTTATATTCATGATTAGCTCTCATAAATCATCTCTTGCACCTAAAGCCTAATAAAAATTCATAGAGAATGTCTTTGAATCACATCAGATGTGTATCGACCCACCGACCCCCGGGAATTACTGCCACAGAACCTGCTCTTTGTTTGTTTGTTTGAAAACACAACCTCAAGAGTTATTCATGATGCTCGTGTTTGGATGATTTTCAATCAGTTTGTGCTTCAGATTCAGATTCAGTGTCTATAATTGTTTCTAGAACTGTAGCAACATTTTTATTTTTTAAATTCAGAATATAATTATATAAATTACTGGTGATATTGTGAACTTTTAATAAAATATTAGACGTGTGTGTATATATATATATATAATTTGAGGTCAGTAAGATTTAATGTTTTTAAGAAATCTCTCCTGTTCACCAAGGCTGCATTTATTTGATCACAAGTACAGTAACAAAAATTGTGAAATATTATTGTGATTTAAAACGGCTGTTTTCTAAGTGAATATCTGTTAAACTGTAATGTATTTCTGTGATGCGCAGCTGTATTTTCAGCATCATTACTCCAGTCTTCAGTGTCACATGATCTTCAGAAATCATTCTAATATGCTGATTTGCTGCTCAAGAAACATTTCTGATTATTATCAATGTTGAAAACAGTTGTGCTGCACAATATTTTTGTGGAAACTGTGATACATTTTATTTTTCAGGATTCACAGATGAATAGAAAGTTCAAAAGAACAGCATTTATTTGAAATCTTTTAAAGAAATCTTTTAGAACATTATAACTTTAAATTGCTTAATGCATCCTTGAATGAAAGCATTAATTTATAATCTTACTGAAAATAGTATGATGTTATCTGTTTATGAAAATGCAAACTTAAACTCAAAGTATCAAATGTGATCCCCATAAAAGCTTGAAATATTCATAGCTTTACATCTGGATTATACAGATGCAGATGCTCTTATATGGATAGTTTAATAAACTGTGTGCCATATGAATATGAGAGAAGAAACAATAACACTCAAAAGTAATAGAATGGTTTGTTGGTGCTGAAGGTCGTAAGAGCATCAGATAGCATTTATAGTTATCCTTCAAATGCAAAGTTACAATAATTACACAAGTTATAATCACATCTCAACCCTCCACAGATACAGTAACATTACATCAGACCTTTTAATAACCTTCACCCTTAAACTGAAGCCAAAAAATGATCACATGAATTCATTTATTGAATATTTACAAACTTTTCAGGATTAATAATCCTAAAAATAATCTACTGTACATTGCATTTTGGTTCACAGATCTGTCGCAGTAGAGCCGGACATGTTTCATGTGAAATCACGCTTCCAAACGTTTCCGGTGTGCGTCTGTGAATCCGATTGTGGTCACATGACAGCTGTCAAATCAAATCTGCAAATGCATTACAAGCTTTTAAACACAAGATATCCTTTGATACCACTTTGTTTCTCAAAGTCCGGCCTGTAGAGCTATTATAAGTTTATATACACATACAATCGATTTTTCATCGTCTTTGTGCTTCACATTTCTTTTGACAGAACGCAGTTGGTATCGAGACGAAACTTTTTACTGTGATCTGTAAAAATCACAGTAGAAACACAGACTGCTTGTGTCTCTGTACATTATTAATGCCTTTAAGGCAGCTTGTCTCAGATTTTGGCCGTATGTATTTTTTACAAACATCTTTGAATGCAAAAATTACTTTAAATGATGCATCAGTGCACACTATGATAAAGAAAAAAAGAAACATCATTTTTGTAATCATTCACCAACACGTAAAATTTTGAAGAAACCCTTTCACAATCATGGAATGATGGATTTCTGATGGATAAAATCTAGTTTTCTTAACAAATACTCATCAGATTACAGAAGTAAAATGGCTTGTTTCATGTTGACTTTAAACAGGGTTGCCACAGCTTTAGTTTCTGATTCTTCAAGAATTGCTAGAATCACAAATATAGCTGCAAGCAGCAATTAAGGAGCCGAGCATGAACCTGAAGATGATCAGAGTAGAATTTGTTGAAAATTGGACCAATGGTCTAGGAGGAGTACGAAAAAATTTTTTTCAGAGGAACTAAAAACGGCGGACGGGAAGTTGGGCCAATTATGGTATAATTGGTATCGACGTTCTGAGCATAATCTAAGGAATCTATTGAGACCAGTAGGCAAAAATATTCAAAAGTTAATAATTTTTAAAGTGTCATTATAATTGCCCAAAGCTTTTTGACTACCTTCAGGGCATGGTGCCGATGACACATACAGAGTTTTGAGTTTTGTAACAACACACCAATGCATTTGTAAAAAAAACAGCATTTTACGATAAAATTCAAAATAGCTGACATGGGAATATTGGGTATCGTTCAACTTGGTGTCGTCACGAAAGTAAAATGACAAGTCTTGTGATTTTTGGCCAAATCATTCAGAAGTTATAATCAAAAATATCCATTTTCAAAACTCCTGTCCACTAGGTGGAGCTGTGCAGGTAACCTCAGATCATGGTTCTTATAACACACACCAAGTTTGGGTTAAACACGCTAAAGCATTGAGGAGATATAGCCTCATGTTCATTTTGGCGTGCTCTTCGTTTAATTCGTTTGTGTTATTCAAGAACAGTTTATCTAATCAACTGGATTTCCATAACTTTTTGTTGCCATGGTCTGAAGATGACCTGGTTAAAACTTAGTGAAAATTGGAGCAACGGCAGAGGAGGAATTAAAAAAATTCAAAATAGCGGGAACATTTTCATGACAGGAAATGATGCCATGGTGCGCAATCAAATTGGCATGAGCCAAGGAATCAGAGGAATTTTATGTCCGAGAAATTCTGAAAAGCAATTTTGATTTTTAAGAGTAACTTTCATTTCTGAAAGTTAGAATTTTGCTTCTAGACCTTGCAGTTCAAAAATTATTAGCATAAATGTCATTGCAACTTTGAGCTGTTGGTGGCGCTAGGGAGTTTGAGTTAGAGACTCCAAATTTGGTGTGATTAATGTTGAGACTGTCTTCTATCAGTGTGCCAAATTTCACAACTTTGTACCATACGGTTCTATGGGCTTCCATAGACTCAAGAGTGGCAGAAGAATACAAAAACTAACACACAAGTGCTTGGCCCCTAAAAGAGCAAATCATTTACTATAGAAAGACTTTTTAATATAGAAATTTCCAGGTTGACTGTGAGACCCTGTTTAAAGCTAAATAACTTGCACAAACCCACCTGCCGCCCACAGATCCACTCATTTATTGACTAAATCTAAACACTAAAACATTGTTTTCTCTGATTTGAACAGCAGTATGGAACGGGCATCAACACATGACAGACGTGTTTCTAAAGAAACAACCTTCAAGGAGTGCTTGAGCTACTAAAACCTTCCCTTTACACATTCATAAATACAAGACAGGATCCGTTACGCTTAATAGAATCGACTCGACCCAGGAGATGAACACAAGCCTATAGGAGATAGGGTCAGGAATAGGGTTGGGAACCGAAAATCAACTCAAATTCCAGAATCGGATACTAAAGGTCAGGAATCGGTCAAATTAAAAATTAAATTTGCCTGTCAATTCCTGTGTGTGCATCTTTTTTTTTTTTTTAAGGGGCTGTTAAAAATGTATTTGATTCATTCATTCAAGAGATTCATTCAAAAGCACTGATTCATCCAGTAATGAAACAAGTACATCTTGAGTGAGTCATTGAATCATTCCATTCATAGATTCCATGAGATTTTGTTTAGTTGTCTAAAGTTTTTTCTTTAGAATTGTGAGAGAACCACAACCTCCATTTAAAAGTCTCAATTTATCCAGAATCGTGCAGCTCTATTTTGCACACAAACATCTCTTAATCGAGTCCAGTTTTTATGTAGCCTGCTGATTTTTGTTCACAGTATTCAGCTGCAATTAAATGTTTTCCAAAAAGAGACTCTGGAGCATTCTCAATTTCAAAAAGTTGACCCTTATGACTGGTTTTGTGCTCCAGGGTCTCAAATATGTTTGATATCTAAATGTTTGGCTTAATCGCTAAGAATCGGAATCGAAATTGATCAAATTCAAATGATACCCAACCCTAGTCAGGAACGCGTCCTCTCAAGGGTTTCTCCATCCCAGTCTGCTCGAGGTATTTGCTCATCCGGGATCATCCAGAGAGGGATGTGTGTGTTAAGGCAGGTAAGGTGTGGAGGGCCGGGGCCGGGATTCAGTACGGTTGGCCCCAGTCTCCGACGGGGCTCTTGGGCTTGGTTTGGTCCCAGAACAGAGCATCACTGGGTCGAGGAGGGCTGGGGAAGGACCAGGAGCTGTCGTCCAGCGAGCTCATGCGTGGGGGGGGATTGAGCCGCACGCCGGGGCTGCCCAGCGGGGCCGGACGCGGGAGGGGCCAGGGGTCCTGGGGGCCGTCTGGGACCGAGGGCAGCGGAGGCGCGCTGGGGGGACGAGGGACACTGCTCTTCTGCACATCATCCAGGCACTGCACTGGAACAGTTGAAGCAGCTGAAACCGACAGCCTCCGGATTTATTACACACCTCAGAAACTCCCACAAACACACTACAGCTACAAAACATGCTGCCTACTGAGTGCTCTCACAACAGCCTGACTGACGGATATGAAAACATGCAAAATAAAATGAGAGTTTTAGGTAGTAGTAGTATGATATCTAAAATAATAAATATATATATATATATATATATACACACACACACACACATAATCGTTTATTTTATACATGTTAAATACATCATTTGACTCACCTGGCTATAAAGTTTGAACTCAAACCAGATCACCAGTGAGAGCAAGCACTATTTTTACCAGCACAGATGGCGAGTGCAGTAACATAAACAAGGCATGCATTAGTGCTCCTCGGGGACGCACAGATTCACACACATCACTAACTCTCTGCTTCTCATCTCACGAAACAACGAGGGGCTCATTTGAAAACTGATTATGTTGCCGATCTCTCAGAGGAATATACGGGCTATATCTTAAAGAAAGCCCGCCGTCTCCAGATTCACTGAAATAAACATGGAGCTCTTCCTCGTTTTTAACACTCATTCTAATTTGCACCTTTTGCTTTTCCTCTGCGACACACAGGGAATACTGACAACCCCAGAGCCTGAAAAGTGTGTTAAATGGCCTTTGTTTAGTAGCTCAGGTATGTGATGAATGTCGAGTGACAGTCTGTATATCATCCTGCCTCATATTTTTCATCATTTTACCGATATAATAGATACACTATTCTATAAAAGTTTGGAATGATTGAAGATTTTTTAAAACGTTTTTGAAAGGAGATGCTGATTTGCTGCTCAAGAAACATTATTATTATTATTATTAATGTTGAAAACAGTTGTGCTGCCAATTTTTTTTTTAAGGAAAACACTACCATTCAAATGTTTGGGATAAATAAAGGTTTTTAAAAAAAGAAATTAATGCTTTTACTCATCAAAGACGCATTAAATTGATCAAACGTGACAGTAAAGACATTTCTAATGTTCCAAAAGATTTCTAGAAATAAATTACAGTTTAACAGATATTCACATAGAAAACAGCTGTTTTACATTAGAATAATATTTAGCAATTTTTACTGTATTTTTGATCAAATAAATGCAGCCCTGGTGAGCAGAAGAGACTTCTTTCAAAAACATTTAAAAAAAAATTATTTTTCCAAACTTTTTCTCTCAAATAACTGAAACACTGGTAACACTTTAAGGACCAATTCTCACTATTAACTAGCATGCATATTACTAGCATATTGGCTTTTATTTTGACTTATTATTGGGTTTATGAGTACTTATAACGCTCATGTTAATGCCTTATTCTGCATGAGCATATTTTAGATCCCTTAACTTAACAACTACCTTACTCACGATTAAAAAGGAGCACACAATAAAAGTGGATGTGCTTTATTCTCTCATGCGCCAAAAAAGACCAAAAAAAAGATCCTTTTTATATTTAATAACATGAATCTAATAATTATGGAAGCTTATTTCCACTACAGAATCAAAAAATGATTTATAATAATAATTATAATAATTATAATAAATCGCAATTCTGAGTTTATATCTCACAAGTCTGACTCAGAAATGTCAAGTTTCTAGAACTGTTAACTTACAACGGTCAGAAAAAAGTCAATTATGAGATAAAAGTTGCAATTACTTTTCTTTTTTTTTATTCTGTGGCTGAAAAACAAACAAACAAGTGTAAGAAAAAGTCAATTGCGATATAAACTCAGCTCTGAAAAGATAAATCTGAATTGTGAGATATAAACTCTATAACATATATATAACATCTTTTGGCGTAAAAAAAAATAGAATTGCAAGATATAAACTTCTAAACAAATTCTAAGGGAAAAAAATTCTGAATTAAGTAAAAATTACTTAAAATTGCAAGATATAAACTCACAATTCTGAGAAAAGAAAAAAAAAACAATTGTGAGATAAAAAGTTGCAGTAACCTTGTATTTTTTTCGTTAGAGGAAGTAAAGAACAGCTCTGAAAAGATAAATCTGAATTGTGAGATATAAACTCTATAACATATATATAACATCTTTTGGCGTAAAAAAATAGAATTGCAAGATATAAACTTCTAAACAAATTCTAAGGGAAAAAAATTCTGAATTAAGTAAAAATTACTTAAAATTGCAAGATATAAACTCACAATTCTGAGAAAAGAAAAAAAAACAATTGTGAGATAAAAAGTTGCAGTAACCTTGTATTTTTTTCGTTACAGGAAGTAAAGAAAAAAGCAAGAATTGCGAGATTCAAACTCACAATTACACGTTTATATCTTACAATTGCAAATTATAAAACAATTCTGAGAAGAAACATTCAAATCGTGAGAAAAATAGAATTTTGGGATAACAATTTCCTCTTTTTTTATTATTCCGTGGTGGGGAGAAAAAAAAAATGCAAGAAAAAAGTAAGAATTATTAGATCTAAACTCACAATTACAAGTTTACAATTTACAAAAACTTCAAATTGGAAGACATAAACTTGCAACTGCAAGAGAAAATGTCAAAACTGTGAGATAAAAAGACACAACTACATTGTTTAGTAATTGCAAAAAAACTAAATTACTATTTTAGAAAAATACACGTATAAGTGCACAACACTATTTATACACTCATACATTTATTCATCTAACACACATACTTAAGTTTACATTCTGAATCTGCACATAATATACCTGTACATACAAAACTGTCAATTTGTATATAGTTATTCCCTATTGTTCTATTTTTATTCTTTTATTATCTGTGTTTTGTCCTGTCTCTGTCACTCTGTTGCACTCCGGAAGCTTCTGTCAGCTTCTATGTGTAAACATACCTGGCAATAAAGCTGATTCTGATTCGGAGATTGTTATTTTGTTGCAGAAAGCTTATTATGCGGCGACGGTCGTGATATGACGTCATGCTCTGCAGCGTCTTTTTAAAAACCTAAATTCAACACATAAACAATAATAATACACCTACAATGTTAATTCAGATAGGTCTTATTTTGTTTTCGATACGATACCGATATTTTTCAAGGCAGTATCGTCGATATCGATACGATACTTCTGAACTAAACTTTTAAATTATGAAATTTATTAAATTACTAAGAGTAAAATGGGTAATGATAACCACTTAACTTTATTTAAAACGCATTTGAACATTCAATACGCCTTAATTGTAACTTATTAGGTTATATTTTTGTTTACACATGGTTCAAATGTGTTTTTTTGTTTACACATGATTCGAATCTACAAATACTAGAGTTGAACTACGGTCACTTTAGTAAAACCATGGTTCAGTTTCATAAGGGTCTGCCAGTGACAGGCTGTTGCACGCATAAAATGCAACATTTTTATTCTTACAGTGTATGATTTATATTAACATTACAGAATAGAACGTGATCAATATTATCTTTCAACGTTCAATTTCAATAAATGTAATCGCACAAACTATGTAGGCTAATTTCAATTTGTTTATTGTGAAATAACTCAAACATGCATGTATTTTTTTTCTTCTGTCCTCTGATAAGCATTGTTCTGGGCTGCCGTTCCCAAAAGCTTTAATGCTTTCTTATGATACTTTTGGGAAGCGCAGCCCTGTTTGAATGCACTGTCAGAAGTGAGTGAATGCTCTCTGTGATGGATTGGTTCTGTCTTGCAACATTTGTGTGTGTTCAGATCAGATGAGCAGGAAAATAGTTCCATCCTACACAATTATTTACTAACATAGGTTATTCGTCCAATTCAATGCATTATTTTTTTTGTTAAATAAACAAAATCACTGGTAAATAAAACACACCTTAGTATCGATATTTATTGTTTGAGTATTGATACTTTCGATACTCGCATCAATACTTCGGATCGATACGCCCATCCCTAGAACGCAGCGAAATGCAAAAACCTTTCGTTTCCGGTCTGGCGCAGTCGCATGCGCATGAATGGAATTGAATGGAACGAAGAGTGTAAGGTTAGTGTGACCGCAGTGTGAGAGCGCTGGTGAACTCACCTCGTCTGAAGACAGGCAGCGCCGGTCTCTCTCTCATCTTCCTCACCAGCTCCGACTGAGACCGAGCGACTGACTGCAAACGGGACACTTCACTGAGGATGCCCTGATACGACTCAACGATTGCCATCGTCCTAAACACAACACACATCGCTTTTACTAATAACACTCATCTTTATGCATTTTAAGTTGCACTGTTGTTTACGTGATACAGCATGGTTGTGTATATCAGGGTTATTTTTTTTGTTGTTTTCAAATGTGTCTATATAGTTTTTATTTCAGTTTTAGTTATTTAGCAGGTTTTTCTATACATATGAAGTATTTCAGAAATACACTCCCAGTCAAATTCCCAGTACGTTTTTTAATGTTTTTTAAAAGACGTCTCTTCTGCTCACCAAGCCTGCATTTATTTGATCAGAAATACAGCAAAAGCAGTAATATTGTGAAATATTTTTTACTATTTAAAATAACTGTTTTCTATGTGAATATCTGTTAAAATGTAATTTATTTCTGTGATCAAAGCTGTATTTTCAGCATCATTACTCCAGTCTTCAGTGTCACATGATCTTCAGAAATCAGTATAATATTCTGATTTACTGCTTAAGAAACATTTATTATTATTATTAATGTTGAAAACAGCCGAGTAGAATTTTTCAGGTTTCTTTGATAAATAGAAAGTTCAGAAGAACAGCATTTATCTGAAAATAGAAATCTTTTGTAATCTTACTGTTCAAAAACGTTTGACTGGTGTTGTATATCTTCACTATAAAAATGCCTAGAAATATATAAAGAAAGAAAAAAATTATATTTTTATAATTGTGAGAACCCTTCCCTTGATTTACATTGGTGAAAATGAGATATGTGTCCATTATTTGAATAATAAATGTCATTTCATTGATCGTCTCATTATTGTTACAATCACCCCCTCTAGTGCACACTGTCAGCACTGCAAGCACCATTAAACACGGAAACATTCAGCGAAAATTAATGCCATAAATACCTGACGTCTGTCAAAGCTTCATGAGACTGATCATCATCAACTACACAGTTTTCACAAACATCCTGTAACGAGAAGAACATCATGAGACACGCCTGATATTTTATTTAAATAATAAAATATATATAAAATTAAATAAAAAATAAATATTACATATATTATTTTAAACATAAATATAATCAATTTATTTACAATGTTATACTTTAATTAAAATAAATAGTATTTATAAAAATGTAAAATAAATAAATTTATTAAATATAACATATGTATATATATATATATATTTACATTTAGTCATTTAGCAGACTCTTTTATCCAAAGCGACTTACAAACGAGGACAATAGAAGCAATCAAGACCAACAAAAGAGCAATGATATGCAAGTGCTATGACAAGTCTCAGTTAGCTTAACGCAGTACACGTAGCAAGGATTTTATAAATAATATAATAAAATAAAAAGAAAACAGATAGAATAGAAAATGAATAGAGCAAGCTAGTGTTAGAGGTCTATATATATATATATATATATATATATATATATATACACACACACATATACTGTATATATATAACAAGACATAAATAAATGTACATGATGTATTATTATATATATATACATATATAGCAGGTGTGTAACAGGTGTAGTGCAGGTGTAGCAGGTGTGTAACACAGATGTAGTGCAGGTGTAGCGGGGCTGTAACACAGGTGTAGCAGGTGTGTAACACAGGTGTAGTGCAGGTGTAAAACACAGGTGTAGTGCAGGTGTAGCGGGGCTGTAACACAGGTGTAGCAGGTGTGTAACACAGGTGTAGTGCAGGTGTAAAACACAGGTGTAGTGCAGGTGTAGCGGGGCTGTAACACAGGTGTAGCAGGTGTGTAACACAGGTGTAGTGCAGGTGTAAAACACAGGTGTAGTGCAGGTGTAGCGGGGCTGTAACACAGGTGTAGCAGGTGTGTAACACAGGTGTAGTGCAGGTGTAAAACACAGGTGTAGTGCAGGTGTAGCGGGGCTGTAACACAGGTGTAGCAGGTGTGTAACACAGGTGTAGTGCAGGTGTATAACACAGGTGACAGGTGTAGTGCAGATATATAATGCAGGTGTAGTGCAGGTGTAATAGGTATAGTGCAGGTGTAGCAGGGGTGTAACACAGGTGTAGTGCAGATATATAATGCAGGTGTAGTAGGGGTGTAACACAGGTATAGTACAGGTGTAGTAGGGGTGTAGCACAGGTATAGTACAGGTGTAGCAGGAGTGTAACACAGGTGTAGTGCAGCTATATAATGCAGGTGTAGCGGGGCTGTAACACAGGTGTAGCAGGTGTGTAACACAGGTGTAGTGCAGATATATAATGCAGGTGTAGTGGGGGTGTAACACGTGTAGCAGGGGTGTAACACAGGTGTAGCGGGGCTGTAACACAGGTGTAGCAGGGGTGTAACACAGGTGTAGTGCAGGTGTAGCAGGGGTGTAACAGGTGTAATGCAGATATATAATGCAGGTGTAGTGGGGGTGTAATAGGTATAGTGCAGGTGTAGCAGGGGTGTAACACAGGTGTAGTGCAGATATATAATGCTGGTGTAGTAGGGGTGTAACACAGGTGTAGTGCAGGTGTAGCAGGGGTGTAACACAGGTGTAGCGCAGATATATAGGCTAATGCAGGTGTAGTGCAGGTGTAGCGGGGCTGTAACACAGGTGTAGCAGTGGTGTAGCACAGAGGTGGAGACGCACCTGTCCGGCCCTGCAGAGCTTGTGCAGCGCGTCGTTCTCTAACTGTAAGCGCTCCAGCTGCTCCTGCAGCGAGTGGATCTTCATTTCACTGCTGCATCTGTCCACCTGCCAGTAATCCGCCGTATCCGTCAGACTCTTCATCACTGACAGGAGAAAAACAGCATTACAACAACTGCTGAACTGCAATATTCAATGCAACAGGCCATGCTGAACATTCACAATATACTACATACTAATAATTTGTTCACATCATCACAGCCTCAATGTGTCGTATTTCATTTTAAAGTGTTTTAGTAAAAATATATTTGGATAGATCTTACTGTTTATATGCATTGTTACACCAGAATAAAAATTAAGTATCATTTTTGTGTTCATTTGCTGAGAAAGTTAATTATTTAAACTAGGTTTTTACTGTATCTTAGTAATACTATTAATATTTTACTAGTAACATTAAACAATATAAAATGTAATTAATAATTCATAACTTGACTTTTTTACTAGCCACTCTTAATGATTTAATAATTCAACAACATTTATTATTTTTCTAACAACACAATATTTAATACATTAATCATGTAATAATATTTAATTTAAAATAGTAATATTTAATTTTAATAATTTAATATGCATTTAATTTTGCATTTAGTTTATGCATTTATAAATAACATTATATTCCTTAATATTGCAATAATATTTCATGATAACTGAAGAATACTTAATTTAATATAATTTAATTTTTCGAGAAACAGTGCAGAAAACATACCAACTTGATTTTTTTCTTGAAGAATATTTAATATTTTACTAGCAACTTTTATTCATATAAAATAATTTTGTAATTCAATAACGTAAGAAATATTTAATAATTTAATACTATACTATTTAATCATTTAAAATGTAATATTATTTAATAAACGGATAATACAGAAAGCATTTGCAGCAACATTATTCACGGATTTTGTACAGTATGATCTTTATAAACACGAAAATATGAATATCTCACCTTGGCTTGTTTCCATCTCCGATCTGAGCTGCAGAAGCTCCAGTTCTTTGGCCTGCAGCTGCTCCGTCAGATGCTATGCTTGAGGTATTCGGCCAATCACAACGCACTGGATAGCTGACCAATCACAGCACACCTCGCTTTTCAGAACGATGAGCTTTGTAAAAATCAACGCGTTTCAGAAAGGCGGGGCATAGAGGAGAAACAATAATGTACAGTATGTGGAAAATAATGTGTTTTTTTAACTTTAAACCGCATAAACATTTCATTACACCAAATAATGTTCTTTTTAGCAGCATCATATGACCCCTTTAATAATTCAACAATATAGTGATTTTAACATTTTACTACTAACATTTAATAAACTAACATAATTAAAAATAGTTTTATATTTTACTAGTGATATTTAATAATTTTATACAATAAAATAATCTGATATTATTAATAATAATAAAAAGTATTATTATTATTTCAATAATACAAATTTAATATTTTACTAGTGACATTTAATAAACTAACATAATTAAAAATAATAATCCAATAATATAATACTTTATATTTTACTAGTGATATTGAATAATTTTATACAATAAAATATTTTTATATAATTATTATTAATAATTATTATGATTATTTCAATAATAAATATTTAATAATTTACCAATGACATTTAATAATGTAATATAATTTGTAATATTTTAGCACCATAATTTATAACAGCACAATAAAAATGATTTAATAATACAACTATAGCCATTTTAATAATGTAAGAATTTTCAAAAATATAATATTCAATGTTTCAATAATAATAATAATAACACTTAATGTATATGATATTCATCAACTTAATATACTATTATAATTATTAATAATTATAATTATTTCATCATTCAGAAATGCAATACACTTGACAGCGAATAATTCACGTAAATCCTCAGTGTTTAACCCTTCGTGCTCCACAGACTTGTGTTGAATGTGTTAAACACCTTGTCCTCCAGCTGCTTGACTCTCCGGCGCAGCAGGCCGTTCTCCTTCTCCGTGTCTCGGAGTCTCTTCTTGATGTCCTCGTAGGCGGTGACCAGAGCGAAGTGAGACGCCACCGACTCGTCTCCGGCGCACGCGGACACGGGGCTCTCGGGCGAGACGTACGCCGTCTCATGCTTCAGGATACAGATATCATCATCCACCGCTGGAGACTCCATACCAGAGCTGCACAACACAGGCTTTACATCAGGACTGCATTCACTCGCATTCAAAATAAAGGTCTGTCTTTACGTAACACATGTGGGTCAAAGACGTTAAGACGATTAAGGTGATTTTATCTCCATAGAAAGCACATTGAATGTAAGCAAAGTGTCTACTTTTAAGTGTTTGGAGAATAAAATGTTACAATTTGGTTGAAATGATGTTACATTGTCATTCGGTGTAACACTAATATTTATGTAAAAATTCAAACGACATGCTTATTCTGACGTGTACATATTAAAATATATAAAAGAATAACAGCATATTAAATTTTATTGTGTTTTAAATTAGTAAAAATTCTTACTGATGATTGGGCGAAAGCTAGGATAGAATTAATTAGTTTTTGGGGTGAAAGTTATTAGTCTTTTAATATGTCATAAATTGATTTTTGTTTGTTGTAAATATGCCTGAGAAGATTGTTACACTGAATTATAGTTTAGTGGGTCTCTTCTGTAAATCTGGGGAAAATTTATGATATTTATTTTTTTGCTCGGAAAAACAAAAACAAAATTGCATTTAAATTAAACAGAAAATTTTATAAAAACAATTTGGGGAAAAACAACAACAATTTAAAGCAGTATTACACTTATTGTTTTTATGCTTAAACCCTTTTTCGTCTTTGACCCGTGTGTGTGTACTGTGTATTTGTTATGCATATATAAACACACACACATACATAATATGTTAGGTTTATATATAAAATATTAATATTTACATTAGTGCAGTAAAACGATTAATCGCATCCAAAATAAAAGTTCTTGTTTACATTATATATGCGTGTATATTTATTATGTATATATAAATACAAACACATGCGTGTATACATTTAAGAAATATGTTATGTTTATATATTCAATATATTTATATATAACAAATTTTGAAATATATAATTTACATAAATATTATAAATTTAATTTACTTTTTATGTTCTGTCCTTTGAGATGCATGAAAGTTGCTATTTAAGTAAACTTTATTATTATTATTATTGGCCACCAATATAGAAAGTAACTGTAACTGATCACTGGACCATATTAATATTGTAATAGTTTGTATTATTATGTTGTCACTTTGAAATCAATCAATCAATAAAAGTCACATTTATTTATATTTCTAAAGAACATTAAAAACATGCATTATATCACGCAACAAATAAATAACACAACATGCATTCAATTACAAGAGTTTATAGTAATGCGTCAGAGAGTTTAAAACATTTAATGCACAACAGAAAATTATTATTATTATTATTATACTGGCCATTAGTGCTGATATAGACTGTTGTGGCTGATATTGATGGATCGGATTAATAATTAATGTTTAAAAATCAATCAATTAAACAACAATCATTCAGAATTATTTCTACAGAACATTAACAACAACACTGTTATATTATATTATTATGAACATCAGTTTGGCTGTGCCAAAATTTAGCCTATAATAAAAATACTTCGATTTATGTGCAATTTTATAATATTTTATAATGCCTTAAATATGAATTATATTCCAGTATAATATAGTAATATAATATTGTATTGTGTAGTACAGCATTGTGAAACCAATTATAATTTCTAACAAAATTGATAGTGTAAAATATTACAATATTAGCATACTCAATATACTGCAGTATTTCCTCTCAATCAGTAGAAAATATGCTTAACACCCGATCATGCATGAAAAACAATACCGTCATGTACCGTGAAGCCGGTATCATTTTGAAAAATACCGTGATATCAATTTTTGGTCATACCGCCCAGCACTAATACATAACATGTTAATATTAATCTAAACTATGAATGAAGAGATCATATGACAGGGCTTTTATTATACAGATGGTTTTCTGTCAGTATTGATCAGCCTTTGGTCAAAGTGAAACAGAAAGAACATGACAACAAGCGAAGAGCAAAATAAAACCGCGGATGAAGATGAAAACAAAACCAATCATAACAGCTCTTGAACTAATCTATTAAAGTATTAGAGCAGGAATAGCGAATGTCATTCCCCGCAGCACATAAAAACACACACGAGAGGCTGCACACGACAAAATACTGACAGACATCAGAAAAGCCGTGTGTTTATGTTCATACGCTGCATTATTATGATGATGTTTGATATGAAATATGAGAGCAGCACTCACCAGACAGCAGTCAGCGCGGACAGCAGACACCAACACGAGAATAAACCATGATAAAGCGAGAAAAACAGCGAGTGTGAGAAACTAAACAACACAAACACTCTCCAGGAAGTGCTTCTCTCCGCTCGCTGGACTTCCGGCGGAAACGGATCTGCGTCGCGCGCGAACTTAAGCCAGACGCGGTTCCCGCTCGCGTGCTTTGCTTAAAATCCGAGAAAATCTATATGTTTCGATTTTTTAATGGTTAATGGTGATATTCGCGTTATTGTGGAGTTTTTTTCGGCGTGTCGTTGTGATGCAGTTACAGCAGAGACACACGAATAAATAATCAATAACTAAATAAATAATAAACACACAATAACAGTAAATACAAACATAACGGATTTATAAAAGTACTAGAAACATGTATTAAAGGATAAAATAGTGGAAGTTTGCTGTGAGCAAACGGATCATCATGGTAACTGCTTCAATCTCGTTTTTTATTTTAATTTTTTTTAGCTGATTATGAAAATTATGATTATGAAAGACAGACTTTATTACACCAGACTGCTTACAAACACACAGCAACCATTTCAAGTAGATGCCCAAAGCATAAAAGGAAAATATCAAACATATTGTAATTCTGTAATAGTAAGCTAGTAAGCAATAGTTTGTCATATTTATTGTGATATTTCTAGTCTTCTATACTTGTACTTCTAGGGACTAGTACATCACTTTTAACCACGAGGTGGCGCTGCGCACAAAACAAACCAACCGCCATTAAAGCAATAGTTTTGCCAAAAATGAAAATGTGCTCATCCTCAGTTCATGCGAGACGGACTCTCATTCTGACGGCACCCATTCACTTGCAGTGAGACACTGATGCAGTGCTACATTTCTCCAGATCTGATGAAGAAACAAACTCATCCTGATCTTCAATGGTCTGAGGGTGAGCACATTTCCAGCAATTGTTCAGTTTCAGGTGAACTGTTCCTTTAACAGTTTCGTTGGTTTCCCAGCAGACATTCTTCACAGGCTCACAGTTTCATAAAGCATAAGGGATTTATTCTGACATAGTTTTTATGCTTTATGTAAGGCTGTAATGCACCTTATGAAACAAACTCAAACTCTGAGCCCAGTGTGTTTGTTATAAGCTCAGAACGGTTTCTGTTTCCCTGAAACTCTTGCTTTCTCTGAGTGGTTTGTGTTAATGATTGACTGATGCTTAGAACGCAGGATGGCTGATGATGGCACATAATACAAATGAACAATTAAATGACAGCAAATTTCCTAAAATGAAACGAACACTTATTTTATACCTTAAAAAAAATCATTATAAATATAGTTTTATCACCCAAGTGCCCATGGTTTTCGGGCTGATGCCAAAAAGTTTCAAATGTTAAATATTTAAAGATAGTAAATAACACATGCATAATTTCTGCAATTAAATGTATATCTATTATACAAAATGTTTACTAAAATAATTAGAAATAAAAAATGATTTGAACTTCACAGTTCTGTGAAATAAACAGATTTATACTTTAGATTCAGTGTTTTTCAAAAAATAAAGATGTTAAAATCATGACTCAAAAGAAAGTAAACTCTGAATATGATTATATAAATATAACAGAAAATTGCATGTAGCGCTGCCTCAGCTACCAAAACTTAGTTTTCTAATTAAGTCATAAAAATATTATTAAAAAAAGTTTTTTCCCATTAAAATAAATTAAAGGGATAGTGCATCATTTACTCCCCCTCAAGCTGATCCACACATTTATGAGTTTCTTTCTTCTGTTTAACATTTTAAAAAAAAGATATTTTGAAGAATGTTCATAAGCAAACAATTGCTGGTAGCCATTGACTTCTATAGTATGGAAAAAAAAAATACTATGGAAGTCAATGTGGACCAGAAACATTTTCAGTTTTTTTTTTTGTTGAAAATTCATATTTATATGAATGCATTTGGCAGACGCTTGTATCCATTGCGTTCAGGTCTATATACAGTACGTTTGATCAATTCATGCATTCACTGAGAATAAAACCGCTGAACTTGGTGTTGCGAGCAATTTGTTTCTTCATTGATCAGCTGGCACTAGTATTTGCATGATTTACACTAAGAGTGTAAATGACTTTAAACAATTACTCGACCAGAAAATCCAAAACAGACACAGTTTAATGAAAAACAACGTGTTTTATTAGAAACCCCAAACCCAGAAACACAGCGCCAGCACTGCATGACAAACAATTCAACATGTGATCACAGATATTAAATACAGTAAAAAACAATAAGCAGTAGTACAATCACTATCACACAGCAAACTATTTTTCCTTTTCAAATCCTTTTTGGACACAAATCAGTAAATCATTCGTCCTCTAAGTGCATTTTAAAACACAGTAAAGACACTAAACCGTGAGTGTCAGTAGTAGTACTCAAGGGCTCGTCTCAAATCTAGTGTGCTATGTCGCCTACGTAGGCAGCATGCTTGATCCTCAGGGCTTGAGCAATGTGTTCAGGTTCCATCAGGCCACTGAAATGCTTACAGTTACTGGAAACGGGAACTAAACCACCAACTCCTGCCTCAACTTGTCTTCTTTACAATTACTCTTAGCAGAAGCTCTGGAGCCGCTCGCAAATGAGGAAGAGATCAGGTTCTGTCGAAGTGAACAGACGAGTCAGGGCAGTTTCGTGTTGTTCTTATCAGCGGTGTGAACGGCAGGAACTGGTTTGCGCTCAGACGAAGGTCCACACCTCCAGATCCCGGACGGTGAAGTCGTGATGGAGGCTGAGAGGACGGTTGCAGAAGGTGCTGCATGAGTAACTGGAGCCGCGATACAGATCAGAATCCAGCCACAAGCCAAACGGACCCCTGAACACACACAAACAACAGAGCATTCACATTTACATGCATGCATTTGGCAGATGCATTGCATTTAAACTATATGTGACCCTGGAGCACAAAACCAGCCTTAAGTGTCAATTTTTCGAAATTGAGATTTATGCATCATCTGAAAGCTGAATAAATAAGCTTTCCATTGATGTATGGTTTGTTAGGATAGGACAATATTTGAAAATCTGGAATCTGAGGGTGCAAAAAAAATCTAAATATTGAGAAAATCATCTTTAAAGTTGTCCAAATGAAGTTCTTAGCAATGCATATTACTAATCAAAAATTAAGTTTTGATATATTCACGATAGGAAATTTACGAAATATCTTCATGGAACATGATCTTTACTTAATATCCTAATGATTTTTGGCATGAAGGAAAAATCTATAATTTTGACCCATACAATGTATTGTTGGTTATTGCTACAATTAAGACTGCTTTTGTGCTGCAGGGCCACATATTTGCTCAGTTCATGCATTCACCAGGAAATTCTACGTGAACTATTCGTATTTAAATAATACGTTTTTTCAGAATTGCAAGAATATAAACTCAGAATTCTGACTTTTTTTTCTTTAAATTTCAAGTTTATATCCCACAATTGAGATTTTTTTTTGTTTCCGCCACTGAATAAAAACAAAAAACAATTCTGAGTTTATATCTCACAATTCTGTTCAAAAAAAATAAATAAAATAAAATAAATTGAGCGTTATAAACTCAGAATTGTGAGAGAAAAGTTGCAATTACCTTTATTTTATTTTATTTTATTTTATTTTATTTTATTTTATTTTAATTTAATTTAATTTAATTTAATTTAATTTTTCTGTGTCAGAAACAGGCTTCCATAGATATCAAGTAGTTTTGTTTTCCATAAAGCAGAAGCTGAAATATGATGTAATGCTGTGTTTAACAGACGGATGGAAGTCATGAGAGCGTGAAAGATGACAGTTGCTCAACAGACTTTTATTACACTTCCACATTCAGAAAGCAGAAGTGGCAAATAGTAGTGTAAAGCAGCTTCCCCTTTAGTCTTATGAATGGCGGTTCACTAACGTTCAAACGTGATTAAAAAAAAAAATGCTTTTATTCATCAAAGACACATTAAATTGATCAGTAAAGACATTTCTAATGTGACAAAAGATTTCTATCAGATGCACAGACTGTGATAAAGCTCTGTTATTAGTTTAATGTTGAATGTGAGATGATGAAGGACTCACCCTCCTCCTCCCATCTGCAGAGAGTCCAGGAATCCTCTCACAAAGTAGGAGTTTTCTCCACTCCAGCGGAAGATCTGCAGAGGAACCAAACACAGGTCAGAACCAGAACCAGACTCAGAACCAGACTCAGACTCAGAACCAGAACCAGAACTAGAACTAGAACTAGAACCAGAACCAGAACCAGAACCAGACTCAGAACCAGAACCAGAGCTAGAACTAGAACTAGAACTAGAACCAGAACCAGAACCAGAACTAGAACTAGAACCAGAACCAGAACCAGAACTAGAACTAGAACCAGAACCAGAACCAGAACTAGAACTAGAACCAGAACCAGAACCAGACTCAGAACCAGAACCAGAGCTAGAACTAGAACTAGAACTAGAACCCGAACCAGAACCAGAACTAGAACCAGAGCTAGAACTAGAACCAGAA